AGGTAATACATCCATAAACGGGCCATGTTCCACATCTATGTTAGTTTACCCTAGGGTATGTAAAGTGATATAAAATGACAAACGTGTGTAAGAAAACATGAATTGCAATACCATATCCTTCAACAGACAGACTCCATGGGGAGTTCACATTTATGAACAGTGCTAACCAAGTTTTTTTCCGTGGCCACCTGTGGGCTATACCTCCCACTGTCAATCCATGCTCTAGGTATTGGGTATTGCATGGTAGTGCTGTTAGGTATGTGAATATGTATATATAATTATATAGATATGTAATGTACGTATAATATCGTATAATTGCAATTTTTGTCAAACTAAAAGGAATATTTTTTGGAAACTGAGGTATCCATATACATATACAGACATACATATAATAACATGTATCTAAGTCCTAAGCCAGTTTAAGCTACAGTAACTCGAAGAACCATCCCACTGGAAATACAGCATAAAATACCAACCATAATGTTCTGCTGCAGTTCTGCTTGATATCCCCTTATCTGTAAGATTAAAGGATATCAAGCATGGTGCTGGTATATAAAAACCTACAAAAAACTGGGTGATTTTGTTTGGGCAAATGTAGGTCAATATTCCAGCACCATGGTTCGCATATGGCTATTACTCTTTATACAAAAAAAAATAATGTAGGTCAATATACCATACATGGAGTATATGGCTATTACGGTATTCTTCTTTATACACCTATAATGTCAAAGATGCACAAAAACCCCTGCCCCATGGGCCCCCGGTGAGATGTGCACCCGAAAAAGGACCGGATCTCACCTTGGTGATCTCGGGATGGATTTTGGTCACGAAGAGTCGCCCGGGCACAGTCCTAACGCTGGGTTTTAGGGGGCCACTGGGGTGGCGAACGCGGTGGATTTTTCGGTCCGGTCTTTGTTCTTTTTTTTTTCGACCATCATAACAGTTGGCTATCTAACTTTTTAGGATTTATAACTAGGGTATATCATAACATATCATAACTATGTTCCATGAGCTAACAAAAACACCAAGAAACATCAGCCTTTTTTGGGCCAAAAAATACCAGCAGCAAATCATAAGGCCCCACAGGCTGATGTTTATCCCTTGGTATCCCCTCGCTGAAAAAGGTATCCGAATATCTACATAGCTGGCCCTTAACCACAGCTATCTATATCTATAGATATATTATATTATATTTCCCATAAAGCCTACAATGTGAGAACCCCAAGATAGCTAAGTTGGTTTATAACTCCAATAACTATGGTTTATGGATGTTTATGGTACGCAAATAACTATAGTTACTGGGGCTTATAAACCAACTTATAACTGGGGGGCCTCACATTGTAGTGATTGCAGTTTACAACCAACTTAGCAATCTGGTGGGCTATAATCGGATATCATAGCTGTGGATCCATCCCCGAAGAACTCTGCATGGATTGGATCTCACCTACAAGAAGATCCTAAACGGCTAGATGTGGAAGGCCTGAAACAGGTTTCTCGGATAGAGACCAGGCTTCTGAACAAATGCATAAATCATCATAAATCTGCCCTAAAATCTGTGAGTTCAATGAATTTCCAGTAGACTCAGTAGATGGATGAGATGATTGGAGACATGTTTTTTTTTTTTAAATCTCATGTTGATCATCGTTTTCACCATTCCAACAGCAATAAACCACCAGGGTGTCGTTTTCCCATGTTTGGATAAACAAAAACATGAGCAGTGGCTGAGCCCTCGGTCATTTAACGTGAAAAATTGAAAAATCCTGATGGGTTTTTTACGGGGTTCAACCAGTTTTAATGGATTATGATAATCCACCATGTCACCATGTATATATACCCTCTGGTTATTTAACATAGCCATGGGAAATTGATTTTCCATGGCAAACTGTCAAATAACCAGGTGGTATATATACATCACCAGTGTATTAGCCCCCAAAAATCATCAACCAACAGATCACCCCCACGAAAAATCAGTGCAGGGAGAAAATGACGAGGCTCTTTGGTGCCACTTCCGGCTGGGACATGCCTGGCGACCAGAAATCGGGGAACAATGGAGCACAATTGGCTCACCTTCTATATTTACCCTCTGGTAATTTAACATAGCTATTGAAAATGGCCATTTATAGTGGATTTACCCATTAAAAATGGTGATTTTCAATAGCTACGTTAAATTACCAGAGGGTAGTCCTCGTTTTTCTGGGATTTTTCATGTTATGAAATAAGCCATTCCTAGATTTTCTGGGTTAGAAATAAGCCCACCTTGAGGTGATATCTCCATTGCTAACCAAAAAGAGCTCTAACCTGTACCAGGGCGGCTAAATCAAATCACTTTGTTGATATAAAATGGCAATTGCGTAGGCTATTTCAATTTACTCTCCAGTGTCAGACACTGTGGTGTAGAAAAACATATGGGCAAATAAAGCTCCCCGTTTTTTTGGTATTCCTTCTAGTGATCGCGAAAGGCACAGGTTCACCCAGTAGATTCCCGTATGGACCCACTACTTGCGGGGCTTCATTGGCACAACATGTAGTAAGTATATGCTCCATGGTGCTGGAATATTTACCAACATTTGCCCTTGTCCAAAATCCCCCAGTCAATTGTAGGTTTTTATATACCAGCGCCATGGTTCGCATATGGGATGTAGTGCCATGTGTAAAAAAAACAATATCTATGGAGTGGACCGAAGTTTGATCCACTACACCTGGGTTGATACGCAACGATTGCATCAAGTTACTCAGAAAACCGAACCGAACCGTGGCATTTGTTCGAACCCATCGGAACCCGACGAACTGTAAAAAAGAAAACCCAGAGCTGTGGTTTGTTCAAAGTCAATGTTTCTTTTGGCTAGTGGCTACAGTAATTGTATCACGGAAGGCAAATGATAACGATTCAGATGCCTGACGACGGATCATTAGGCGCACAAGGGGGTCAAAGACCGCTATGTACATGGCGAATCTGCCTCAAAATGGCTCAACATGGCTCAACTACATTCAGTGAGAAGAAACCCGACCTCAAACGCATGCGGGGGGAAGTCCTCCTAAAAATGAGTGATTTCCGGGAGGTCCTGATGGCCTCCTGGGCGTGTCAAGAGCTTCCTGAATCCACGAATGTTTATCCTTTTCCCAATGAAAACTACCATCAGTTGGGGTGCATCCAATTGTCAGACAAAGACTTAAATCATCATATTGCTCGTTACATTGTGGTTATATATGATTATATATGGCACATGATATCCATATATGTATCCATACTATATCATATACATGTTACATATCCCATGATATCAACATCAAATGCTTGGTTTTACCATGGGTTTTATGCTCAAATCGGCCCGGTTCCCCGGTTCCGGCCTCCAGCTACCTGGACAGGATCTAAACAGCCAAGATCATCCAAGACATACGGTGGATGGCAACGCGAAATCGGAATCACCAGTTGATAGGTCCGGTGGTAAACATCTCACTATGTATAGGGTTTCAACATGTTTCAACCATCCGGTTGGTGGTGCAGGATTTCGCGTTGCCATCCACAGTATGTTTGTTATTTCGGTCAAATCCAAGATATCCAAGAAACACTCGGGGTCCATCATAGAAGCTGGGCAGGTGGCACAGAGGAGAATCTGTGGCTGTGAGGTACTACCCAGCAGCTTGAGACCAAGCTATGATCTCTTCCGCTCTCAAAATTATGGGCAAACCGATGTCCATTTCGGTTTAAAAAAACTCATTTTCCCCATTCAAGTGCTATTTTTATCGGGGGTATACAAAAACAATTTCGAAGCAAACCCGTAGTTTCAAAGCACGGCTTCGGCACAAGGGACCACTTGATACAAAAGTGGTGCTGTTTTTTTTCAAGCTCCGAACCATTTCAGGGTGGAAAAGCAAACAACGCAGACCCCCCGGATGGATAATTTAGTTTATTATATATATAATATTATATAATATTATAGATAGACATCTATAGACGTAGCGACCATAAGTCATGGTTAGCCTACATTATAGACCAACTTATCGGTCCAGGGGTCCCAGCTTGAAATATATAAAAAACACCAGCCGGTTGAAGAACCTTTCGACTCCACCTATTTCGAGCTAGCCGTATCATTCCAAACTAGTTGGCTGATTCTACCCTATCTATACCGTATTCTATACCAAATTATTGTTACCACACTTGATGTCAATCGGATTGCCATTTGTGTGGCAAATCCCTATCTTGCAGTCTTGCAGGAATCCCAAGCTCCTGGCATCTCCCATTTTGGTTGGCACTATCTGTAATTGAGTTGATGAAATGAGTTCAATCGCAGTTTCATGCTAGATTAGATATCCATAGATATCCCATTTTGCTTTCTAACATCCCAGTTTTTCTTGATCAAAGGACCCCAAAATTCATGGCACCAGCGCCTGCATTGCTGCCGCACCGGAACGCCTTGCTTTCCCATTCCCAAGTCACCAGCGGATGGGGGTAGAAACCAGTCATGGGACTAACTGACTTTTCATAAGTCATGGTACTTATAACTATAGTTCATGGTACTTATAACTATAGTTATTGGGGTTATAACCATTCATCTCTTTCTACCTGACTTTTCTAACCAGTCATGGTAGGTTTCTAACTGGGAATGGTAAGTTTATACCACCTATGATTGGGAATAAACCAGTCATGGGAGGTTCATTTTTCCTACTGGTTCTACTGCCATGACTACTTATTCCCAATCATAGGTGGTATGGTTACCATTCCCAGTCATGGTAGGTTTATGACATTGTTTTTTCCCACATTAGTTAGATATCCCATTATTATCCTTATTATTATCCCCTATAACAATTAATGATAGTTAATAATTGTTAATATTTGTTAGTCGTGGTCATTGATGGGCCAATGGGTTGAAATCCCGTCATGATACCAGTATATCAGAAGGTAAATCCCATTAAATTCCATTCTCATTAAATCACCATTTTCCTATGGTTTTCCTATGCTTTTCCTATGGTTTTCCACATAACTTGAACCCTCTGCAGTCCTCTGGGCTGCCCAACGCCATGGCTGCATCCACCACGACCATCGTCCCATTGATCTGCGTTTAAGCCACCATTCGTTTCTGGACTTGGATGTTGGATATGTATATTTTAATAGGGAAATCAACTATAAATATCTATTTCTATGGCAATTTTCAGTAGCAAACTGTAACAAATTACCAGAGGGTATGATGGATTATGATGTATATTACGATTATGATGATATTATACCATCTGGTTATTTAACATAGCCATGGAAAATCCCTCATAAATGGAGGTTTTAATGGGAAAATCATCTATACATGGGCCATTTTCCATGGCTATGTTAAATAAGCAGAGGGTACATATAATATACTGGTTGGTGGTTGACCTACCCATCTGAAACATATTAATTAGTCAATTGGGATTATGAAATTCCCAATATGATGGGAAAAATAAAAAGTGTTCCAAACCACCAACCAGATATAGATAATTTCTTTTGTTGAACATGTTTTGCAATTCTCAGGGTGCTTGATTACTCAATTGGTTTGAGTTACAGTAGATGAAATAATTATAGATGGTTTGATGAGTTGAAATTTCGGGAGAATTGGCTAAGGCTGATTGGTTTGTTGAATGTCAAATGGAGTACTGACTACAGTATATCAGTATATCATTATATCTAGGGAAACAATTTGGGAAACCTGGTCTTGAAACATGTGCTTTCTTTGTTCCGGACACTTGGAACAAATATACCCTCTGGTAATTTAAAGTAGCTATTGAAAATGTCCCATTTATAGTGGATTTACCCATTGAAAATGGTGATTTTCCATAGTTATGTTAGTTTACCAGATGTGTTTGATTCCCAGAGCCAAACAAGTGCACCGAATAGTGTTTTCCCTTTGAGGCAAAATTCATGACAGAGCTCTTTTTGTTTGCGAGTACTTATTCAGAGGTGGCATTGAGATTCACTTTTGGAGTTTCGATCATCTAACCCAAAATCACATGGGAATAACTATCAACTTATCATTTTTGGTATCCTCAGCTTCAGACACAGCCATCCCCATATTGATGCTTAAACTCTTGCATCCTCACCAATTAAATTTAGACTACCAGTTCAATCAATTTGTACATCCAACAAAAACAAATCCTCATATGTGTACTCATGTATCCTATTATAGCAGACCCCCAAAAAAATAGAGAAGTCATTTACAGTGCCCCTATTTCAGGGTTGGACAACTACTTTGCTGCATCCTTTTTTGGGGGTCACACATCCCAGTTACTTGGTTGTTCATTGATCCCTCGCTCAAAGTTTAAGTTTTTGTGCAACATGTTTTTATCTACCAAACAAGCCAAACGCCTGAGGCTACCATATATTGCCAAACATATAGATGGGTCTGAGAGAATCCATTCACACTATGCTTAAACTTCACCCTCTGGTAGTTTAACATAGAGATTAAGATCACCATAGTTTTCATAGCTAAATCGACCAAATTCTCCCGGCGACCTCCTGATGAAGCTCCTGCGTTGCAGCCTTCGCCCTGAGGATCAGCCGGGATGGATACGGTAAAACATGTCACCAGCTTTGATTTCAGCAAAGAAATAGGTAAAACATGGTAAAACAACGGGTATACGCTATGTATAGATATATATACATAGCGTATACCCGTTGTTTTGAATATATATATATATACATGTATGAAACCAACAATTTCATGGAGGCAAACGGGGATATATAAACAATAATATCATGATTCGTCTTTGTGTGAAAATAAGGTGGATACGGCGCAAAATGCGGGATACGGCAAAATGGTAATGTTGCATCATAGGGAAACTGATGATGAACCTTTTGGAAGGTCAAAAGTCATATGAGATCAGGCAAACGATCCAGGCACCAGTTCTCTAAGCTTCTGGCGATGCAGGGTCTTTGTAGGAGATGAAAGCAAAACCTGCTCAAGGAACCGCTGCCGGGTCAATTGGCTGAGTCCAAAAGATCAAGATTTCCAGACTTGACACTACTCAAAATGGGTTTGTCTGAAAATATGGTATCCCAAGAATCATCGTTATCTTCTTCTTCTTCATCATCTGCTTCAACATTATCTTCTCCAAAAAAATGCCATGTTGGATGCATTGTCCTCTAGATTGGGATTCTCCAAACTTCAGGTGGTATTACCTGACTCTGCTAACCTGGTATATTTTGCCATCAACACGTGACACACAAAGTAGATACTTTCTGGTCATTTAACACTTTTCTATTGAAGCCATGGCCCATAGAAATTGTTGATTTGCCGAATTTCAGGATGGTGATTTTCCATGATTTTCCATAGGTTTCTGTATGTTTACCAGAGGGTATATCTACATCCCGATGCCACGAAGGTTTTTTCAGGTACCCATCAGCAGTAAGGTCACCATCCGCGACTGCCTTTGTGTCCTCTGCCAGGGATGGCCTAGGCGACATGACGTTTTTGATGGTTGGCATTCAGTATTACAAACATGACAAATGATCACAATATGTATATATATACGTATGTATATGTCTATGTGTAATGTAATTTAATGTAATGTAATCGTAAATGTTTAATGTAAATATAATGTAATGTGTGTATGTATGTATGTATGTATGTATGTATGTATGTATTTATGTATGTATGTATGTATGTATGTATGTATGTAGGTAGCACATATATATATATATACATAATAGTATTGCTATATATATATATATTGCCATATATATATATATATATGTTGCTCTTATAGGTTATACATATATATGCTAGACATATGGTTGTGCGATAAGTATACCCATTTCTGACAAGCAATTGAAGTATTAAACTGCCATGGCGGCCATTCCCCTCGGCGAAATCCAAGGGAAATGGGATGGACATGTCACAACATGACGGCATTTGATCATTAGGTACCTGAAAATACTCCGATTTTACCTATGATTTGATACTCCAATTCTTAGGTATCACATTTTTCAGCCAAACAAAAATACCCTCTGGTAAACTAACATAGCTATGGAAAATCACAATTTTTAATGGGTAAATCCACTATAAATGGCCATTTTCAATAGCTATGTTAAATTACCAGAGGGTAATTATGTTGATTGATCATCCGAGACCGTAGATCCTGTCTTTTTTAGGTGTCCATTTGAGACCGTTGACTGATATGACTGATATGCATTCTATTTTGTTTTGCTCTGTGTGGTGTGTGACCTATTTTTTTCATATAATTCCAGTTCTAGCGTGTTGGAAGTGGGTTTGACCAATATTTTCTCATGTGTTAGCCGCTTTCACTTTGTAGTATCCCAATTTACAGTGAACACATGTGCTCAAGTTCCAACAATTTCGCCTCAAATTTCAATCCTCAAACGTTCCCGGCGTGTTTTCGGCCCGTGGAACAAATCCCTAAAGTACACCAACATACCAACATACAATGCATCCGCCTTTTGGACTGGTTTACAATGACGGACCAGCACTTAGAATATAAAACCTTAAGATTTGCTTAGCTGAGCTAAGCCGCTCTTCGGGGAATAGGGTTTTCAGAGCTAGGCCGAGAACCTTGGTCTTAGAATATGGGCCCATGCACTTAGAATATGGGCCCATGCACTTAGAATATGGCCACTTAGAATATGCAGAAGAAGTTTCTGGTTGTACAGGCAGCCGTACTGCATAACGTAGCATAGTTAGGGGTGAGAAAAAAGTGAGAGCAAACTATTGGCTGGAAGGATGTGACATTCCATCTCATGGTTTTTGTATGTGTTGCATTATTTTTTGGTCGTTATACTGTACTGGCTGCAGGCAGTGCAGTACTGTACTGCATACACATGCAACATTGCACATATATCATATGTTCATATTCTATCTGCATATGTTGTTTGCATATTCTATCTGCTGTTTAGGGTCTTAGCTACCTTAGCTATTTTTTTTCATATTCTATCTGTGAGCTATTTTTTTCATATTCTATCTCCTGGTCTGCTTGAGTACTTCAAAACAAATTGACGAGCTGACGAGCCAGTCGAGTATGAAAGTTGGGAACGTCTTATATATGATATATATATATATTATGCATGTGTACTCGTATATAATCGTATATATATATAATTATATGTATACATATACATATATGACAGTTCTCTCTGAAACCATCAGATTTTTGCAGATGGAAATCATTCTCAATCTTGGATAATCTGGGAAATTGGATACCCTGGGAAGAAAAATGTATCCCCTCCAACAGGTTCACCGATGTTCACCGTGCTTTGACCAACCGCCCCACTGAGCTGTTGCGACCGGCATATAACAGTCCCGAATGTCTCCATACTGCTCAAAGTGTTTCTGCACGTCGGCCTTGTTACCAGGTGGGCAGTGGCAGCTGGAAAACTATTCCAAACCCGAGGTGCACCGAAATCATATCATTTTACTGGTACAAGATGGTACAGTACAAGTAGATACTCGAATGAACATCAGGGATTTCAACTTCAACCTCCTAAATGTAACATCAAACCCCAAATCCGGAGGTGGCCATTTTCGGGTCATACTTTAGAATTTCAGGGGGACGGTTTAGCTCATTTCAGATCTTCAATACCATGCTTAAAAAATATTGCAGAATATCAAATACTACCACGTTTATTAGCAGCCAGAACATTGCCCATAGATTCATATCCCATTCAAAATCTACCGTCAACTAAGGACATCTATGCTTCTGGTATCAGTGCTAAGGTTCAGTAAGAATTCTTCTCTCCAAAAAAAAAACATCACACCTACACAAATGCCTTTTGGACCATGATTTTCACCAAGAAAGCGTGGAACATCACCATTTCAGGCAACAACGAACTGCCTTTGAAGGTCTCAAAATGGCGGCACGGCCACAGCCAAGCGGCAACGGTCATGGTGTTCAGCAGGCGGGTCACAAAAATGCGACCCTCCATGGGAGCCACCTCCGACTTCGGGGATTTTCCACCTTTGATTCCTGTATCGGATATACAACATGGAATAAAACATGACAAAACTGGAAAGCCAAAACAACTGAATAAAACATAAATAAGACATGAATAAAACGTGACAAAGCTGGAAAGTCACGGCTGCAGCTATGATTAAAACATTTAATAAAGCAATGGGATATAGCCTCAAAAAGGATCTGTAGCAAGGTAGGAATCATTTTTCGGAAGCCTCCTTCCTAGCCAAGTTGGAATGGTCCCCGAGGGCCCGAAGTATCAATGGATGCAAGTCGCCTCCCATTCACTCAGAGCTCCCAGTTGCTGGTTCAAAAAAAACCCTTCAATTTCCCCCAAACAACTGTGTCTTACCCCAATACGGCTACTTTAGATACTTTGATTTTTCCCCTTTTCTCTGGGTATTTTGCAGGTTTAGGTCCGGGCTAGATATGGATTTGCTTCGAAACTCCTCCTTTCAACAAGCTTCCGGGTAGATTTTGCCCACATTGTGAATACACCAATGGGGAAATACAAAGTACAAAGCCACAAGTTCAGCAAATCCAAGACTTCGAAGGGCTGCAGGATTTGATAAATGTGTTAGTAGCTGTGTATTCCCTCAAAATGTGGTACGCATCATGGGAAATACCCGAGTTACTAACCATTGGCTTTTAACCCCATCCAGATATCGTTAAACCTACATCTATAATCATGTATGTATCCCATATTGGCTCTATATTTAAAATTATTTAAAGCTACATTTGACTAGGTGATTTTCATTGATGTTGGACTTTTGGGCACATGTTTTTTCTTTTAATATTCCAGCACCATGGTGAGCCCAGGGCGCGCCTTGCGGGAGGGCCCCGCCGGTTGGTCGCCCTTTGGAACGCGCAGGCGCAGTATGCGCTATATATTTCTAGGTGAAGTTGGCGACTTAACATACTTAACAATGAAAAATGATGGATATATATATACATATATTATACATATATATATATATATATGTATATATATACATATATATATATATATATCCGCCGACCCCTGCCGCCAGCAGGGGGAGCGCGTTAGAGGAGGACTGACTAGGGGCTGTCGCCCGCAAGCCCGGCCCGTCCTTCAGGACCGTCCTTTTTGAGACTGGCGAAGGCGCCGTTTTTGAATGTTTGTGACGGCCGGAAAGGGCGCGTTTTTGAAGGTTTGACGGCTGGAAGAGAGCTTGTTTTCTTGTAGGTTCAGAAAGCAACGTTAGGCAGTGGGAGCCGGCGCCCGGAGGCTCGGTCCGTCCTTCAGGGCCCTGCTGTTTTGCTGTGGCGAGGGCGCCGTTTGTGAGCCTTGACGGCTGGAAGAGAGCTAGTTTTCTTGTAGGTTCAGAAAGCAACGTTAGGCAGTGGGAGCTGTTGCCCGGAGGCTCGGTCCGTCCTTCAGGGCCCTGCTGTTTTGCTGTGGCGAGGGCGCCGTTTGAACGGTTTTTGAAGGTTTGACGGCTGGAAGAGAGCTTGTTTTCTTGTAGGTTCAGAAAGCAACGTTAGGCAGTGGGAGCCGTTGCCCGGAGGCTCGGTCCGTCCTTCAGGGCCCTGCTGTTTGGGCGTGGCGGAGGCGCCGTTTGTGAGCCTTGACGGCTGGAAGAGAGCTAGTTTGGGAGCCGTTGCGGAGGCTCGGTCCGTCCTTCAGGGCCCTGCTGTTTTGCTGTGGCGAGGGCGCCGTTTGTGAGCCTTGACGGCTGGAAGAGAGCTAGTTTGGGAGCCGTTGCCCCGGAGGCTCGGTCCGTCCTTCAGGGCCCTGCTGTTTTGCTGTGGCGAGGGCGCCGTTTGTGAGCCTTGACGGCTGGAAGAGAGCTAGTTTTCTTGTAGGTTCAGAAAGCAACGTTAGGCAGTGGGAGCCGTTCCCCGGAGGCTCGGTCCGTCCTTCAGGGCCCTGCTGTTTTGCTGTGGCGAGGGCGCCGTTTGTGAGCCTTGACGGCTGGAAGAGAGCTAGTTTTCTTGTAGGTTCAGAAAGAAACGTTAGGCAGTGGGAGCCGTTGCCCGGAGGCTCGGTCCGTCCTTCAGGGCCCTGCTGTTTTGCTGTGGCGAGGGCGCCGTTTGTGAGCCTTGACGGCTGGAAGAGAGCTAGTTTGGGAGCCGTTGCCCGGAGGCTCGGTCCGTCCTTCAGGGCCCTGCTGTTTTGCTGTGGCGAGGGCGCCGTTTGTGAGCCTTGACAGCTGGAAGAAAGCTAGTTTTCTTGCAGGTTCAGAAAGCAACGTTAGGCAGTGGGAGCCGTTGCCCGGAGGCTCGGTCCGTCCTTCAGGGCCCTGCTGTTTTGCTGTGGAGAGGGCGCCGTTTGTGAGCCTTGACGGCTGGAAGAGAGCTAGTTTTCTTGTAGGTTCAGAAAGCAACGTTAGGCACTGGGGGCCGTTGCCCGGAGGCTTGGTCCGTCCTTCAGGGCCCTGCTGTTTTGCTGTGGCGAGGGCGCCGTTTGTGAGCGTTGACAGCTGGAAGAGAGCTAGTTTTCTTGCAGGTTCAGAAAGCAACGTTAGGCAGTGGGAGCCGTTGCCCTGAGGGTTCCATCAACTATGCACGTGCCAGTGGTTGGTGGAACACTGCTTTCCGTTGGGAGTGCGATGAGTTACTTGAATTCGGCCGGAAGCTTTTGTTGAATGCACCACCGCGCTGCATGTCGGACACGTGTGCGTATGCGTGCGACCTGCAAGCAAGCCATTTGCAACGCGAAATTTGTGGCCGCAACCATCACCTCGGCGGTGATCGATTTGTCCTGTTGCCACTTTGCTTTGCACAGATTTGGCGCAGTGTGGGCAGATGTATGTGTACAGTTGTGGCGTAACCGTGTCAGGCCCGACAGCAAGCTGCTGGTTCGATGAGTGGGCAGTGTCCGTTTTGGGAGCTTCTGCTCGCGTGGAAGTTTGTCTTGCTTCGTGTATTTCCTGAATTTCCTTGCAAACGTCCTCTAGGATTCCTGCGTGACGGTGGCGGGTTTCGCGTTGGCGCAAGCGGGTCAGGCGTTGATTCGTGCGATGAGCAAGACGGCAAACGAAGGCAAAGGCTGTGCATGCGTTGCATACTTGTGTGCCGTCTTGAGTATATTCACGCTACCCTGCCTGGGGTCGGCGGCAGGGGGCGTAGCCCCATATATATATATATATGTATAATTATTATATATGGATATATGGATACATGGATATTTGGAGGTTTCCTAAGTCATGGGGGTACCCCCAGCCATCATCCATTTTTGTTTGGGATTCTCCATTATTTATAAACCATCCAGCGAAAAAGGGGATCCTCCAGTTATGGAACCCCCCATATGACATGTATAAATATATATATATATATATATATTCTATAATATGACTTGACTTTGTATGGCTTACCAGGGATGCAAACGTGCGGAAAATCATAGGGATTAAAACATGGGTAATTGACTGGTGTAGTTACTGATGACTTAACAATGATATAAGGGAAACTTATGGGAATATGATGGAGGTTAAGCACCCTGAAATGTCATGAGGAGATTCTGGGGTATATAACAACAGCTTTTAAAATTTGACCCTCCGGTAATAATGGGAACGTTTAACATCCACACATAGTGGATTCTTCCGTGCTGGGTGCATAGGGCTATGAAGCACCACACCATGGGGTGATCCAACTAGTTACTAGTCCAGAATTTTCAGCGAGGCATCCATGGCCGTAATTATACGATTAGAGGAGATCCCACCGGCAACACTTGATAAACCACATTTGGGATGATTTCCGGTATGAAGCTGTATGAAACGTGTTTAATCAATCCAGACTTGGGCTATCTTGGGCTTATCTATCTGGAGTGCGTAAATGCGGATATCTTGATAGTTTTGGGGATTGAGCATGATTGAGCCCTTCCTGCAAACGTAGATACTTCAGGAATCTTCAGGACACATCAAAGTCAGATCAACCATCAAAAACACAAGTGGTCACTTTTGGATCTGAACCAATCCCTTTCGCGGTCCATGCGTGACACCCATTAGGAGTCAAAAATGCCCAAGAAACAGGCTGTTAGGCTGTTAGGCTGTTACTTCTACTAGTGATAACTAGACCTCGTTCACAAGGATTTGCCTATTTTCGGCCATTGGATGGTTGCGACATGGACACATCTCAAAAATACTCCAAAGTAGGAACTGGGCAGGCACATGTTGCATCATACTGCCAGAAGGGATACAAGCAGCCAATCATAGGATACAAAACCTCACTGTGGATCTCCAAACCTGTCGGGTCGTTTTCTTCCATTATTCCTTAAATAATTCAACCAGGTCATCAATTCCTAAAATCATCATTCCATTCTTCCATTATTCCTGGATATTCCTGGTAGATAACTCACCAAATCTAAAACAATGTCAAGTGCAAATATCTAAGTGCGATACATATCCGACGTCCCTCTACACCCGTCATCCATCAGGAATATCAGGAGAGGTCATAAATGGTACTAGCAGGTCTCCTGAAAAACATGTGAAAACAGGTCATCCATGGGGATAGGTACCCGTATACTAGCCAATCATTCCAGTGACGTAGATTCATGTGAGGTCGTTGTAATTTATGCATATTTATGCAAATTATTGTCTGGTTGGTGGTTTTAAGCATCTTGAAAAATATTAGTCAATGGGAAGGATTATCCCATATATTATGGAAAATAAAAAATGATTGAAACCACCAAACCAGTTGTACTTTTGGTCCCTGTTGATTGGATTGGTTCCGTGGCACATGATACCCAGCATTTCCGACTCCATCTGCGTTGAGTTCCCCACCGTCAGCTGGGGCTGTCGCGCAGTTGCGATATCCACCACCACCTGGCACTCCATGGGATAGGTTTCCGTAGCGAAGTGCGAAATTGCCAGCACAGATGCCGTACGTAGTCAAACCCGTAAAGTTGATAACCTATATGAAACATGAGGATACATCACATCCATTGTGATCTGCAAAATACCATATTGAAAACTTGATCTGCAAATCTTCATGACCTGCGTTCTGCGAAACCAGCAGCTTTTAATGGGAGATTGCTGGATCCTGAAGTTCCCATCACCATCCAACGCTTCGGCGCCTCTGCACCATTGATATAATGTGGGGCATTGGCCAGGGCCGCCTGGCGAGTTCCCCTGGTGTCCCGGTGCCTTGGACTGTCGTAGATGGCCCTGGTTGATACCGATGTCCCGTTGTTCATCCGCCGTTTCAAAGCGGTAACGTACGGTTTTGAGCAGGGCTTTTGGGGTTTTATCCACATATATCATATATATATATATATCCACATACTGGTTGCGTGAATTCGAGTGTATGCACACACAATTCAATGTCAAATCGATTGATTGTGCAAGTGTTCTTTCAACGATTCCAGTGGTTGGGGCGTTTTGTTTTGAATTCTGAACTATGTCTATGTACCGATCATTGGCAATGTTATCATAGTATTGGTCTCCTGAAGCCCTCTATCTTGCTGGTTGCCTGGCGATGTCAGATGCTGAAAATCAAATCTTTTCTGCTCCAAATACCACAATGTTTCTGACAGAAACATACTACTTCGTTCCCACAAATATGAAACGCCACCTAAATGAAAACATTGTTTTGTATGACTTTGTATGTATTGGATCTATAATCCCAATGCCCCTAATATTAAACACCCCCTATAGATGGTCCCAACATGTCCCAATTATGTAGAATTCCCTTGCTAAACTATGTTGTCTGGGTAGGTGTGGAATTCCCCGCAGCCTGAACGGACTCCTCACCACTGAAGGAGACAAAGGCAAAACCCTGGGGCAGGACTTCACCATGAAACATGGCGGGGTTTTGGGAACCATGATTTTCTGAACATGGTATCCCCCAATTTTTTAAAATATGTCCGGGGAATCATGATAATTATGATATATATATTATGATATTCCGTTTCGTTTTTTTTGGGTACTACAAACGCATCTAGGGATACATTCGAGCGGTTAGGGGCCGCAAAAACACAATTTATATATAAATACCCATCTGATTCCAAGAAATGGCTTGCTACTCGGAACTTTCACCAATAAATGGATTTGGGGTTTCAAAAGGAACCAAAACAAAACACGTGGTCGTTTCGCTGCAAATGAATCCACCTCCATTTCTCGGTGCTTGGCAAGTCAAGCACCATTCCCCTGAAACCAGAAATCGGGCCGAGAGCAACACTTTTTCATAATGGGGATCTACCAAAAATAACCAAAAGTGGGCTATTTTGGACCATCAAGATTGAATTCAAAATCTGAACCAACACACAGTATCCAAAAAATGCACTACTTATACTTTCTAGATATCGACTGCCGATCGGACCCGGGTTAAGTCATGGTCAAGTCATGGTATCTGAAATCCTGTCCCATGGCGACGGCGATTTACTTTTGCATCTAGAAGTGTAATGATCCGTCTTGGGGATCCAATGATCATATTACATCAAATTTATATCCTATTCACATATATTTTACATCTGGTTGGTGGTTACCTACCCCTCTGAAAAATGATGGAGTTCGTCAGATTGGATCATCATCCCAACTATTGGGGGAAATAAATGAAAATAATCCATTCATGTTCCAAACCACCAACCAGACATGTTCTTGAAAAAATACCCTCTGGTAATTTAACATAGCTATGGAAAATCACAATTTTTAATGGGAAAATCCACTATTAATGGCCATTTTCAATAGCTATGTTAGTTTACCAGAGGGTAATCCCCGTCTTTTTTTGTGGATCAAACACATCCAAAAATCACCGACTTGGCAATGACATGAAGGCCATAAACCCAGGGATGCCCCGCCTTATGACCGGGTCGACCTGGGATGAAGGGCAAATAGACATCTGTGGTGCTGCCGAACTGCTGGAAGTGCGCTTCCACGTCCTGGAACGGCGGGGTTTTGGATGGTTTTGGACTGGGGGACCGTCATGATATCGAAAGCCACATCAACACTGCCATTTTTGGGGGGAATCCTCCGCTTGAGACAAGCGTGTTTTTTTCCGTCTCTATTTGCATAGTTGTCGAACTCACCTGCTACCGAAACAGCCAGACACCATGGAGATTCTCTTTGGATCCGTTTACTTTAGACAAAAACTATAAATGTTTTGAAGCAACGGGCTCTCCGATTTTGAACTAAATAGTGCATGTATTGAATCTAGTTACTTGTTTGTTTATAGTGTTGCTAGGAAGATCCCAAAACGCTCCCATTCAAGTTGGAATTCAGCTAGGAATTTTTGCAGGGCTTTCACAAGACGAAGTTCTCACAAAAACTGAATCAAAAGCTGTGGGCTTCAATTGTTAATCCAAAACCATGTGAGACATGGTGAAAAATGTCAATGAGGTGAATAGAATTGAATATATCCTTTATAATATATATATATATATATATCTGGTTGGTGGTTTCAACCCCTCTGAAAAATATTAGTCAGTTGGGATTGCTATTCCCAATATATGGAAAAAACATGTTCCAAACCACCAATCATATATATATATATATATGCATAAATAGACAGTGTATTTCAAAGGTACTAGGATACATCTTATGGCGATGATAGACTGAAAGATATCTTGTCAACCGAAATTGCCAAGCCAATCCACGGGTTCGTTTCGCCATGGGGATTGGCTATGTCTCACGTCGCGCCTGCTGGGTGATCTGTGGAGCGATTTTGGTCACAAAGAGCCTCGTGACGTCGTGCCATGGCCATGGTAAGGGCGGATGACGATGCTATGTTCAGTATTAAGCTTAGACACCGTGCACTTATCACCTAAGATGGCAAGCTGACTATATCCCCAGCTATAAAAAATGCAAGGGTAATTGCTAACGCCGTGAACTGGGCACTGTGCGTTTTATGGGACTTCGTGGAATTGGGATGGGGTGGGGTGGGATGGGGTTTCTACGCTCTTAATACTGCGCTCTTAACTTGATCAGGTAACTTGTAACACGTCTTTGATGTTACGCTCTTAACTTGTTACATGCTCTTGATGCTACGCTCTTAACTTGTTCAAGCAACTTGTAACACACACTTGATGCTACGCTCTTAACTTGTTCATGCAACTTGTAACACGCTCTTGGTGCTACACTCTCAAAAGCAGTTTCCAAGCAATTAGACTTCAAAACCAAATGTGAAGGTCATAATGTTGTGAACACGCTGCTGAAAGAAAAGGTCCTATCATTGGTTGTGGTGACGGAACAGAACAGTGGACGAAAAAAACCTACCTGAAAAGATGTGTACAGAACTGGGCAAAATCAGCAAAATGGCGGTCATGAGAAGGATCTCCATCAGCTGCAAATAGCATAGGGTTGCATCATCACTGTGTCCACAGCACACAGTGATGATGCCACGGCGTGACCTACCGTTAGTTGGTACTAAGTTCTGATTAACTAATCCATGTATGTAAATATAAATATATAATATTATATATTAATATACAATAATATACAATATATATATATATGTACATGTGTCAACTAATCCTCCAGCTAACCCATATGCACCCATAACCAGGTTTTACCTCCTACCCTCATGATCTCCGCCTGTGCTCAGAGGCCTTTGGATCTGCCTGGCGATGACATGCCCACGACAAGGCTTTAGACGACAAGGCTTGATGCCAACTATGCCGGTCAACTCGGTCATCTTGGGATTTTAGGAGACCCAAAAAACCTTATGGAATTCGAATATGGGCGAGAAATATTACGAGACATGTAATTTGTTACTGTACTGTACTCAACATTTGACTCCGGATATCCTTCAGGTCCTTCAAACTAGGAAGACATGCAAGTCTGGGAAACAGCAGCAGGGAAACAGCACCAGGACACGTTTAACATGCGTCGTTCTTTTCCGCACAAGCGAGAGCTCTTTGGTTTGCGCAGAATTACTCAGTTGCTGCCTCTTTGAACCTAGGTCCCAGGCCACACCTAGACCAGGACCAGAAGCATGAAAAGAAACCCGTGGTATGTTGAATGAATCATCACCCACAAGAACATCAGCTTACCCAGGGGTATTCTGTCTAGGTAGCACGTTGGTGTTATTAATTGTCTTTTTGGATTGCTCTAACTTCACATTAAGATTACAGGAAGGTTGCGGTTGCCATGCAGAAAAGCATCCAACAGGACCCAGCCACAAGCTAGTTTTATATGCACAAGCACAAGCTTTTGAAAAGAAGTCAGATTCTCATCAAACAACTTGGGCTGAGAAGCCTGAGATGTGGAAGTCATCTGGCAACAAAGATCCACCAAAGTTGGTCATAAAACCGATTCAAAGACTGATTCGGCAATATTTCGAGGTGGGACCATGGATCCCAACCACGGCAAGTCGCCGCTTCACACAGAGGGCCACTTCTCAACCCTTGGTTTCCCGCGTTCGCTGAGTTCCCCTGACAGCATCCAAGCACCATCATCTTCATCTACCACTGCGAGCCCCTTCACCTGCCGTCTCCGCGGGCAGCTGGCGCAAGGAAAATGGTGATAAGATGATTCTGCAGAGCTCGTGGCTTTAGATTTTAGATGGGGTGCTAGATGGGTGTACACAAATGGTCATAGGTTTTGATGCATGATCACAGATGGTGAAAAATAAAAGTTCGGCAATCTTCGGATGGTTAGCCATATTAACCAACCTGAAATAAGGGATAGTTAACCGTATTAAACTATAATAAATCATGGATAAACATGGATAAACTAATTTAATAAACTATTATCATGGGGTCCCGGGGGGTGTCTAGGGGGGGGCCTGGATAAGCCTGGATAAGCCATGGATAAGCAAGGATTATCAGAGCATTTTCAGAAAGAAAGGTAAATTTCCGGGTGTTCATTGAAAGTCTGGGAGGTCTAAGACTGATTTGACCTGGATTTTGGGGTGGGGGTTGGGTGGCTAAAGGCTTAATAAGGGCTTAACAAGGGCTTAACAAGGGCTTAATAAGGGCTTAATAAGGGCTTAAAATGATAAGCATTGGATAAGCGAGAGACAGCAAGCTATTCTGCATATCCCCCCCGGCAAAATGACCCCTCAGGACCCTAGATTCCCAAAATTGCCAAAATTGAGGAACATGGTGAACACACATCGCAAGCACTGCAGAAATCCCAAATGCCCTTTGTTGGTTGTGGCTCAAATCACCCGTTGCCTTGGATAAGCAATGGATAAGGAAGTTCAGCTATCCATGGGGAATAAGACCTGAATAAAGGCCTTAAAGGATAACCCCTTAATAAGCCTTAATAAGCCCTTAATAAAGCTTAATAAGACCTTCATAAGGCCTTAATAGGTGTTTATCATTTCCCAGCCTTATCAGGAGCTTAAATGATAAGCTCAGAACCCCCCCCACCCCCCGGATTCCATGATGTTATATAATTTTCGGATCGTTACCCCAATCAAATTTCCTTCCATTGACGTCGCGCCGTTTTTGGTACAAGTACTTACATGTCGTCCAGATCGTTGGACAAATGATTTAACCACACCGGGTAAACAAATGATATAACTACATTTCCGAATGAAGACAATAAAAACATGTTCAGCCTCTGGTACTCAAGCATGGCAACTGAACAACTTCTCATTGAACATATCCATTGAAGATTTCCAATTGCCATGTTTGATTACCGAAGGGTAAGCATCTATTTCCGGCTTCCCATATATTCATATCTACCCGCACTGGTGAGTTCCGCCAGTGACTTCAGAGATCTCAGAATTCCTTTCACCTTGCCGTCCTATGTAGATGCCAAACCTTACTGGTTGGTTGTTTCAACCCCTCTGAACAAATATTAGTCAGTTGGGATGATTCTTCCCAATATATGGAAAAAACAGTTCCAAACCACCAACCAGCTTAAGTACCCTCAAGGAAGGCAATGTTTAGCTGGCTATAAAATACTATCCCGACAATTCACCAGTTGCTTTTCTCTGGACTCTCCAGTTACTACACATAAATACGTACATCTAAGAATCATATTATAACCATTAACAAAATGAACTACACGCTAATCAAGAAACATCATATATATAATTATATATATATATAATTGTATATATATATATTGTATTAACATATTGTAAACATATTTAAACAACCAAACAGCTACCACATCCCAACGAATCCGCCCCAAACAACGGCGGATTTTCAGCGCGCCGGCTGAAAGGCTGCTTTGGTGGGCCAATCAAAACGGTGGAGCTCCTACCGACTCAGCCACAAAAAGCTATGGAACATGTTCCATAGAAATAGTTGATGACTACCCTCTGGTAATTTGTTACATAGCTATGGAAAATCACTATTTTTTATATTTTTAATGGGAAAATCCACTATTTCAATGGCCTCACATTGTAGAAATATAGTTGATGACTACCTATTAAAAATGGTGATTTTCTATAGCGAACTGTAAACGTTTACCGTTTACCGGTATTTTTCAGCCCAGTGATTTTCGGAAATTTCATGGCGGTTTCAGATGGTTTAACCATAAAAACATCATGAGCAACCATAGAAAACCATTATGAAAACTCGAGATTTCACGAAAGTTTTGGACATGGGATGAAATCCGGGACTTCACCATGAGTTCATGGGGATCTAACCAACTCAGGGGGTTAACCCACTCATCCACCATAAATCGGAACCGGGAACCATTCCCAGTCTTGGTCTTCGGTTACTAAGGTTAGTATATATATATGATTATATATGTATATCTCCATTTCCAGCAGTAAAGTATGAAAGTATCTATCCAAGTTTGATCCGGAAAACATATTAAAATCTCACCAAATAGAAGGAAAACACCATGATGTCCTGCATGTTCTAGTTAAAGGTTCCCACCAATTCCGAGATGGTGGCTTTGACCCCACAAAAAGCCGGAGGAGTTTAGCACACAAAATCAGATCCTGTCACCCAGGAAAAGGGAAGTTGATCTAGAACAACAAGACCCATTTTTTCCAGCAAGAACACATATTTGGAGGTTTACTGAAATAGGGGTACCAATAAAAATCATCCGTTTTAATCGGATGTTCCATTATAAACCAACCATTTTGGGGTACCCCCATGACTATGGAAACCTCCATTTGACCCGCCTTTGAAAGTCGTGATTCACTGGCGCCTTTGAGAATGGGGATCTGAAGCCACCAAAAAACAGGGACAAACTGGACTTTGGACCATCAAAATTGATCAGCATCATGCAACAAGAAACCAGCAGAACATGTTGACTTCACAAGCACCAACAGAAGCAGCTTGGTTAACACCCACAAAGTGTGAACCCAATTGGCCCATATTGGCCCATATTGGCACCAGGGCAACATGGCCAATTTAGATACGAAGAAACCTAGTTGTTTTATGTCAGTGGTTGGTAAACCCTAGAACTCGAGTGTTGTCGATTAATTCGTTTGATGCCTAAATCCTTACCCAACCCCATTCCTTTGTACTTGTGGGCAAAGAATTGCCAAACATGACGTAGATTTGTATCTTAATGTCAGCCCCGGATGGACACTCACGTGACTAGCAAAATTGGGGGTTACCCCTAACATCCCGTAACATATTTTTATATGTTATTTCTAAATTTATGAAAAATCCAGGATGAACGTCAAATAATTAGCTGGGTAGCCTCTGGTAATCCAACATGGCCATAGACAATTCACCCTTTTATAATTTTATAGTCGATGTTTCCATTAAAATCTCCATTTATAATGGCAACGTTTGATTGCCGGAGGGTACTCTCAACGTTGACGATGCACTCCTCGTTCGTCAAGGGTCGCTGCATCAGCCGGGCGGCAAACTGCAGCACGTCCGACTGCACACCCGGCCTGCGTCGATGCTGCGAGCAGACCCAAATGATGCGGCAATCCCATGGCCCTGTGAACCAAATTGGATCTGGTCTAGGAGTCTAGCACAATCCGAAATGGAAAAGCATGGGCATCGTTTCGACTTGGGTTTGCGAACCAGTAGCAGGTTAAATTGCATTAATCCACAATCTTGTTGGTTGAAACAAACCTTTCTGAAAATTATATCTATACATGTTCAAACCATAAATCTCTATGTATGTCTGTGGATAAAATCATCGTTTCTGCTGTTAAGTCCCAAATTTGGTGCTTGGAAAGACATTTTCTTCTTAAACACGTTCTTGTTCTACAACCCACACATGATGGGTGAGTTGGCTTGTAACTAGGCTAAGGATTGAATTTATGGTGGACATATGGGGCGGCCTTCCTGCAGCAAATCATGATCTCTAAATGTAAGGCCTTTTGTTCCATCTGCTATGCATCTCATCCATCTTCAGGTATCTTTATCATCCAAATATCAACCATTTCTGGCCAAAGCAGGCTAAATTACGTCATAGTTCACCCACTTCAAAGATCTTAAACTGACAGAAACTGACATCTTCAGTCACATTTTGGAGGAACAAATCCCCGGTCTTTTCCGAACATCTCCGCCCGGTCCGGGGCCGACCAGGACCAGTCGTCCCCAAAGAGGACGCCGGGAGCCGCCAGAAGGCGCCAGGCCTCTTGGACCTGGATTTCATGGGATGATGGGATGACGGATGGTGATGGGATAACACCATTAAATTAATGGGATTTGATGGTATTTGATGGTATCTTAATGGGATTTGATGGTATTTTAATAGGATTTGATGGTATTTTAATAGGATTTGATGGTATTTTAATAGGATTTGATGGTATTTTAATAGGATTTGATGGTATTTTAATAGGATTTGATGGTATGTTAATGGGATTTGATGGTATTTTGATCATGGGATAGTACAAAATGATACAATCACCATAGAAAATGATTTAATGGGATTTGATGTTATCCCATCACTATGGTCATGATGTTATCCCATCACTATGGTGTTATCACCACTATGATAATCACCATATAACACCATTTACTATGATACAATCACCATAGAAACTGATTTAATGGGATTTGATGGTGATATATCAAAATGATGGGATCTGACACCCTGGAGAAAAATAGGGACTTAACGGGATTGGATGGGGATATATAATCATAATGATGAGATATCACAGTTAAATTCCAGTAGATATAATGATATAATCACCATTTAATGGTTGAGTTGCTGGATTTTAATGGGGTTTGATGGTATTTTGATTATGAAAAAGCTATGGTATATGTTGGGTTTAATGGGATTTGATGGGATTTCAAGGTGATATAATCATAATAATGACCCAGTAATGACGCTCAACGTTTACAGACGGGATAGAACAACTCCTGCCAGTCATAACTGTTACGGGCTACAATAGGGAGATGTATGGAACTAGTTAGATTGTATCATCTATAGATGTGCAATATAGAATATGACAAATATAGATGTCTAATTTGACAAAAATCAACTATGAGTACTGTAGAAAATATGATATATAAAAAAAAAATAGCACGATTATATAAATGATTACATGATAATATTGAAACAAATCAAAAATTGCATGTAGGTAGATATGTACGTGCGTGCGTGTGTGCATATGAAAGTATATAGTATTTTTATACAGTATCTTGTATATACATAATATAGTATATAGTATATGCATGTATTGTCTAGTATCTAGTGTATAGTGTATAGTCTATAGTTTATGGAATATTGTATAAAATACAAAGTATATACATAGTATAGTACTATGTTATTATTTCCCTATTATTCTGTATATAGTAGTATTATGTATACAGTATATAGTATGTAGTATCTAGGATCTAGTATATAGTATTTAGTATATAGTATAGTCTTATGCTAGTATTATGTGAGTATTATGTAAGTAAATAGTCTTATGTTAGTATTGTGTTCGTATTATGTTAGTATTATTATGTTAGTATTATGTTAGTATTATGTTAGTATTAAGTTAGTATTATGTTAGTGTTATTAAGTATTGTATAGTACTAAATTGCTATTATCATGTACTATAGTATGTGTTTGAAATACAAGTAGCAACCCCTAAAACGAAAGAACCACAACTAATCACCATTTTAGTGGTACTTTACTGTTATATCGTTTTGGGGGTTGCTACATAGCAAATAAAGAGAGAGAGATATATATATATAGATAAATGTATAGAAATAATATATATATATACATATCACTACAATTATATGCAATAATTATGGTACTACCGAAAAAAACATTTGCATTGCAATGTCTATATATATAAAATGGTTTCTATATACCATAACACAATATAGTTATGTTATATTGATGATGTACATCATGAAATATAACTATTGTGAAGCAGAAAACCACTATATATACATATATATGTATGTAAATGTATATATATATATATATTTGAAACAGGAAATAATAGTTGATATATTACATATTTACGTAGCGTCCGTTTTACATCTATATACAGTTTGAAGTCATGAAAAATGAACATACCAATTAATTCAACATTTTGATAACATATGTATTGTTGGGTTTGATGTACTATTCAACAGACTTTTCCAGGGGTATACTGATACATGTGTATAAACATAAATCTCATGGGGTATTGTTATAATGGATGTACATGTATTCAAGTGTCTTGTCCAAACAAATAAATGCAATTTCCAGGTTAAGGAAGCTATCATAGTTCATAGTATTTGATATCACTGTCCAAACAAACCAGATCCATCACATCGCAGAAAAGGAACATGATGTTAAACCATGTGAATCTAAGTGTCAAGTGTATATGCAACGTGCCACTTAAGCGCTGCAGTTCAATCAGTTTTGGCTTCACCCACATATTTCCGCCACAATCTGCTTCCGCAAATAGTTCATGCATGGTAAAGCTCAGGATCAATTACATCCGCAATTTCCAATTACCGTTTGTTTCTATAAGTATAATTAATTTAATACCTAATGCAACCAGGAATGCAGGATATGTTATTATAACCAAACAGTAAACATGGACATTTGCTGTTCGGGTACCCCGGGTACCCCAAATCAAATGGATAAATCCATTGATTTTCCAGTCAATGCTGGTATTTTTCAAACATTGAAAACACATGAAAACCGAACATTTACCCAAACATTGGCTCAAATGTCGGTGAATATTCCAGCACCATGGGGACCATGGGGACAATGGGGACCATTAGAGCATGTTGGAATCGTTTCTTGTTTCACTTTGGAGAAGGTACTTAGATCATGTTAGATCCAATTCGGACCATCAAATTTGGAATCATGGAATTAACACGAAATCATTCTACCAAATTTATCCAACGTTATCCAAATGTGACCCAACTCCCATGTCATTTCCCAGAATCCACTACTTGGAGGTGCAGTTCTAGTTGTAAGTGGACATGTAACCATAGTTTTAGGGGTTACTGTATATCCCAGCTATTGGGGGTTACAGTATTACCCATAAAAATCAATTCCTAACTGCACCCCCAAAAAAGTGTAGTTCCATCATCAAGTAGTATGAATCTTGTATCAATACACCCATGAATCCATGAAGATTCCCATATGAATGGCCCATAAAACCACGATCGAAAAGCCATCAAACTCCGACACCTCCAAGAGCGTCTCCCCCGCTTCATGCGCGGAATCCAGGTAGATGATCTGCGGTGAACGGACGTTGGCCCGTGGTTTTTTCGGTATGTGTTCAGCAACAAAAGGTGGAACCAACACATGGATTGATAAACACATGGATTTGGTGATTTATACATTTTATAAACACCACTTAAACAGCTTCTGATGGATTTATTTTGTGGGATTTTATGTGATTGGGCCGTCAAACACATGGATGAATCATTTTCATCAGATGCTGACAAAAAAATGTTTATGAAAGCTAGGTCAAAAGCAGGTAACCCGCTGGTATCTTCTTCATTGAAAATGAGAGTGTCGAACCATTTGCAGATCATGGAGGATGGTGACCATAAAATTGGGCATCGGGCAAGGGTTAAACCTCACTGGGTAAACGAGGTTGGTCATGTTTCGTCGCAAAGCGAGTGCATCCCACAAGAAGAGGGTCCCAGTTGCAAGTTCGTGTAGAATCCTAAAATGACTAGATAAATACTTACATACTAAGCAGTATGTCTGTCTATCTATCAAGCTATCTATCTATATATGTTTCTATTTATCTATCTATTTATTCATCAATATTTATCACTATTTGTCACTGTTTATCACTATTTACAGTATCACTATTTATCATTATTTATCACTATCTATCACTATTTATATATCTACATGTCAATCAATCAATCAATCAATCAATGAATGACTGACTGACTGACTGACTGAATGAATGAATGAATGAATGAACCAATAACCCAATCTATCTATCTATCCATCGATCCGTCCATCCATCCAGCTATCTATCTGTCTAACTATCTATCTGTTTGTCTGTCTGTCCGTCTGCTTAGCCAGCTATCTGTTTGTCTATCTATTATATATATATGAATACCCATCCGTCAGTCAGTTGGTCTGTCTATATCTCTGTTCATCTATCTATGTGTCTATCTACTTCTTGATCTAATGAAAACTGCGTGTAGAATTATATCCCTATCTATTTGTCTATATTTATCTATGTGTATATATATATGCGTGTGTGTATATATATATTATGTATCTATGAATCCACTGTGTACGTATCTATTTATATGTATTATACTTGTCTATGGTTCTATAAATCGGATCTATATATCTATAAATCGATCTATGTCACTATATTTCTATCCATCCATCATAAACCAATCCCTTCGACGTGCCTCCGGAGGGCGTTCAATGCGGCCCTGCTCATAGAGGGTCCTGGCGACGTGACGACGTGACGACGTGACGACGGGATATGTGATATCAACTTGGGATATCTATGGATAGCTTGGATAGTTTGGACATATTTGGGATATCTATGAAGGTTCGATATCAACCTGGCTGGGTTATGTGGGATATGTTACATCACTATCCAAAGCACCCGAAGCATAGCCTGCTTGAGACGCAAATCATCTTGTCAAAGGATGGGAGCAAGTTCCAAGTAACCATCGATTTGGGACTTATGCCCACTTTCTGCTCCGTTGCAAAAGGGTGGACAATCGTTGGCTAAGTTGATCAATACCTAGGCTATAGCTATTGTATTCTATTGTGGTGGATATATCTATGATTTCATGGCTTTGTAAACCAAGCTGTCACTGGGGGGCACAGTGTAGGTTGCAATGGACCATTGCACCATTGCGGCTCAGACAAGGCACCATGAAGTCAGCCTAGTCCATCCAAGTCACGTTTTTTTCTCAAAACAACTGCTTCATCTAAACAAGTCCCGAAACAAAGTGCTGGCTTAGTTGCGAGAACAAAATGGCGCAAACTTGCGATATTTTAATGAAACACATATTAAATCATATTAACATATTTTTTTTAAAAAAACATGTATACTTTCCCACTAAAAAAACAAAACAAATCATGGTTTCCCATTCAAATAGTAATTGTTTTCAGTGGGTTTTCCATCTTTTCCATGGGAAACGAAGGGCTGTTTCCATCTGCTTTCAAAATCGCTCCCAGCAACGTCCAGCCCTTCGTTTCACTCCTCAACAACCTCAAACCTGTGATGCTACTCACCTCGGGGCACCGCAGTGGCGAAATGAACTTAGCCTAAACTCACTACACACATCTATAATATACATTAACAATCAATCCCATTTAACCCCACAATCTATTGCCTTCTATATTTGATTGTATTCCCATTATATCCCCATATCCCTACGCAGAAATCTGATTGCTGTTGGTGTTTTACCACCCTTTTATGCTTGGTAAAATCACTCAATCAACTGATATAAAGTGGTCGGTTTCATGATTGAAGCACCAGCTGACCAGCCCAGGTTCGACCTAGGTTCCAGACCCTGAGCGGCAAGACGTAGTCCTCGAGAGGTCAGTGAAATCACTGGCAATCGCTGAGAGTGGACATTCTGGATTTTTCCATTGCCAATCTTAGATAGCCAATTTAATAGCAACAAAATACATGTATGGGAGTATCTAACCAAATCTATAATGGAAAATTGTTGATTGGAGATAACCAAGAAAAAACTTAGCCGGTTAGTAGATATTCCAAGTTAATAGCAACATATTATATACCCTCTGGTAATTTAACGTAGCTATTGAAAATGGCCATTTATAGTGGATTTACCCATTAATAATGGTCATTTTCTATAGCTACGTTAGTTTACCAGAGGGTAAAGGATTAAACATGATTTAAACTACCCATCCAGGGTGGTCTACTTTCTTGCGATCTGAATGGATTCGACACGATTCAAACATCTCCTGAGTTGACACTGTCAAGATATCAATTGAAACGGTCACGATATCAAGATAGCTTATGCTGGTTGGTGGTGCAATAACCATCTTGAAAAATGATGGAGTTCGTCAATGGGAAGGATGACATCCCATATATTCTAGAAAATAAAAACATGTTTGAAACCACCAACCAGTTAAATATCCATTTCCCTATGGTTTTCCTATGGTTTTCCTATGATCATGTTTGAAACCACCAACCAGTATGAATTGGAAAGGATTGAAACACTTCGCCACGAATCCATTCAGATTCATCAACCGACCCGGAGTTCTGACCTGAAAACTAAGACGAAAGACTGCACAGTGGCGGGAAAACATGATGATGATAATGATGTTGATTGATAATTGTTTCATCCCCATAAATGACTTTAAAAAAACAAACAAAAAAAAACATTTTCTGGCTGTAATACTCGGGCCATTGACAGTTTGGTCAGGGCTTGCAAACTCCAACATGAAGAAATAACACATCCAACTACACTATAATTTCTTGAGGGCGAAGAAAAACCATATCTTGTTGGTGGTTTCAACCCCTCTGAAAAATATGAAAGTCAGTTGGGAGTATTATTCACAACATATGGAAAATGTTCCAAACCACCAATCAGATATATATATATATATTATTTATTCATCGTATACGCTGATCATATAATACGTATAATTTACTTATCATAATGTTGATGATAAGGGCGCCGCATTCTTATAATCATATAAGGGCGACACCGGAACACCTGTCTAATCGGATTGAACATTTGGGTTCAGGGATTCCAGTACACTATGATTGCCATGGGATGGTATGACCAGTGAACCGCAGTGAACCATCCAATTTCTCAAAAAGATCATTTTAAGCCAGGGCTATCTGTAGAACTTTAGAACATGTTCAGTTTTTTTTTAACAAAAACAACATCCATGACTTGAGTTCCTGCCGCCATGGGGCCCAACAGTTGATCACCGGCAGCCCGTCCTGATGGCCACGAGAACGGACGTTGGCAAGAAACATCTCATAGATCCGCGAATGGCCAAATTCATCCATCAACAAAGGTCCATCCTCAGATCCAGGAGAGATCCAGGAGATTCAGAAAAAAATCGCGATGAAGCAATGGATGGAGGCAACACTCAGGAAAGGAATGCCCTAAAATATCTAAAATCTTACTGGTGCTAAATGGAGAATGGAACAGTGGTTATGGATTGGATCTGCAGCATCATTTCTCCATTCCCTAAGTGTGGTACCAGAAATGAAGTTGAAGTCCCTGTTCATTATTTCTCATTCGAAATGGATTTCTTTCCCTTGATTCAAGTCGCTGAAATTTCGCCACAAGTCCTAAAGTGGATGACCAAGACTGGCTGATTTTCGGTTGAACCTTTTTCATGTGCCATACAAATTATGGGTGCCAAAGATTTAACACATTTAAAAACCACCAAAATCCTGTGGTTTATCTTGATCTTCCCCACTCCAATTGCCACTTGGGCTCCCCATTTTTGTTTACAAACCTCAAAAAAAAACGTGTTCAGTGGCTGGGGTGAATCCCTTTTGGTTCATTCAATGCCCCCATTTCATTTCGTTGCACCGAGCCATCCGACAGCCACATTTTGCCGCTCCAGGAGCCCAAAGTGCGTGCGGAATGCCTCGCCACAGCATGCCACCGCGCCAGGGCAAACACGGCTGGACAAAAAGTCTTCAAAATCCCCATCAAATCATCTACAAATGATGGAATACTGATGGATATATATATATATATATATATATATGGATATACTGGATATTCATGACTTATTGAAATGGCTTCCCTGGAAATGGAATATAACTGGATGAATACCGGATCTCCAAGAAATATTTTGCGCAGTAATCCAAGGTGCCTTAGAAAACAAGCCTGGTCAACCTCTGTGTCTTGATCAGCACAAGGCCAAAGATCAACACAGAGCTGTGAGAATCCTGTTTGTTCCATTCAAGTGTGTATATGTATATAATTATGTATATACAACATGTTATATAATCATATAACACCTGGACCTTCAAAGTACCCATCAATGTGGCCCAACAAATGGACAAAGGATGGCAAAGGCATGAACATGCCCGGCCAAAATTCCATTCCCGCACTAAAATTAAAATCTACACAGTCTATAACTAGATGTTTGTTTTTTTTTCCATAGTCACTGAACCATGGTTTATCATACCCAGATACTCCATGTATATTTACCTACCTTCACCACCAAAATGGACCAGTTTCGTAGCTAAATATTCCAGCACCATGGAGCATCTGGGATATATTATCTACAAAATATGATATGAAATCCCATTCAACATGATTATTCCCATGAAAAAATGGACCATTGACCCATATTCCCATTATCTACGATATAAATCCCATTAAACAACTATTAAATCCCATTAAACCACCATTAAATCCCATTAAAACATCATTACTTCATATTTCCACCATATAAATCCCATAAAATCCTAGCAGCCCTAGCATTTTTAAGGTGCTTAAGTCACCAAAAATGCCATCCATGAGATCCCATGGCTTCACCTTGCGATCCGCCCACATGTCGACCATCCCGGTGAACGGATCGATACCTCGTCGAAACATCGACTTCGTTGGTGGATGATATTAAAGTGATAAATAATGCCTATTACACAGTGATAGATAATGCCTATATAATACTATATTAACTATATATATATATATGTTGATCATATATATATATGTACAGTATATATATATGGATATGGAATCCCAGTTTGATGAATGATGAATGGAATGTTCCACTTATGACCAAGGCATATATGGGGGTCCCAGGTATATTCGAAACATATGCTGGGAGAAGCCCAGTTGGAAGTGGGATGCACATCCAAAGATGCTATAAATCCAGGGGGATAGGTGATTGATTTGCTGGAACTCATGAAGGCTAACCCCATACGGTGCTGGGGTCGTGCTGACTGGTCGCAACATAAAAACTACAGAAGTCAAAGTCAAATTGATCTTTGTGATATGTATATATATATATATACATAATAATATATATATATACATATGAATATACATATATATATATACATATGTGATATTTGAAACCCAAAACTATATCTGGGATGGGATGTGGAGCTTGGCATTGTCACGTCCTCTGCATCTCCAGCTGTGTCCATGGTGAAACACGGTGAAACCACCAAGCAGCAAGGGGAAAATCCAACGAGGGCCTAGTGGACGGTCCGCAACGGGCAATTGGGCGTACAGAGCGGACATAGCCAAGGAACAAGTAGGGAGTACATACTCCACTTTCTAGCCATTTAGATATATATATATATATATTAGAATTAGTTAGATACCCGCTCCACATGCGTCCCTGCAATTTGTTTTAAACCTGAGGCTGCCACTTCCTACCACTCAACTCTGTCGCAACCCTGAACTATGGTGCTGGAAAAAATATGATGAGTCACTAACCTGAAATAAGGAAATGCTGGAATAGCTATCCCATACTTTCAAGGCCGTCGCGATGTGAGGTCGTTACAATTCCTCCAGATGGTTACTTGACAAGAACTCAAAAAGATCCGGGTCATGCCACTTCCTTGAAGTAAAATTATCAAACCCAACATGTTCCACAAATAACCTGGGTACCCTCTGGTAATTTGTTACATAGCTATTGAAAATGGCCATTGAAATAGTGAGTTTTCCCATCTAAAATGGTGGATCTTTCCATAGGCACCATCTTCTCGGACCAGTTTTTACCGGCATTTTCTGGTGGTTATTCCCTACCCCGGCACTGAAAAATGATGGAGTGAGTAACAGTTGGGATGATTTTCCATTCCCAACTGAATGGAAAGTCATAAAAGTCATGTCTCAAACCACCAACCAGTTTTGGTTAACCCAAATTATATATTTTTTGGACTCGATGTTTCATGATGCTTCAAAGCCCCAAGCTTGATGCTGAAAAACCTCCACAACATGTTGCGCCATCCAATTTCCACAGAAGATTTCTCATGTGGGTAAAACAATTTCATAAAACATCCCCCAGTCATCACCATTTTTATAGGTGGTATTGTTACCATTCCCAGTCGTGGGTGGTTTATGGCATTGGTTTACCCACATTAGTTTGATATTACATGATTATGCCCTTATTATACCATGATTATCCTACTATTATCCCCTATAACAGTTAATGATAGTTAATGGTTGTTAAAAAAATATTAATAGTGGTCATTAATGGGAAAATGGTTTTACCCACATTATATCTCATTATACTAGCTTACATCCCCATGCTTGCTGGTTAAATCACCATGTTCCCATTAAGATTCCCTTATCTGTGTCCCATGAAATCCCATTAAACATTAGTAATGTTTGATCATTATTGATGATTTATGACTATTGGTACTATGAACATCTATTAACATCTATTATCGTTTTACCCACATAAATCCCATTAAATCCCATTAAACCACCATTAAATCCCATTTAACCACCATTAAATCCCATTTAACCACCGTTAAATCCCATTAAACCACCATTAAATCCCATTCAACCACCATTAAATCCCATTAAACCACCATTAAATCCCATTAAACCACCATTACTTCATATCTCCACCGCCATTTCGCCAGGTGACACAACACACCACAGTTCAGGCGCATCTGCTTCAGGACCTTCGCCGTGGTGATGGCGCTACTTCCGATGTAGGACCCCACCTAGCGAAATCAGGTGAAATGATCTGGTGAAATGTGGTGAAATCTCATTAATCATCATTCCTTCCATAAATCTCATTAAATCCCATTAAACCACCATTAAATCTCCCTTCAATCTGGTGAAATCTGATGAAATGGAAGTGTCCCAATGGCTGGGGGTACCCCAATAGCTGAAGAACATCCCCAAAAATGGATGATGGCTACCCCCCCATGACTTAGGAAACCTCCATATGGTGAGATATACCACTTTATTTGCGATTTGATTGTTACTTATGCCTTGTATTTCTGGCTACATCAAATATAAGGGTACATGTCAAAACCAATGGAATCCATGTTTTTAAGCCAAAATAGCTAGGAATTATGGATCGTCATCCCCAAAAACATGTGTATATATATACATACATACAACTAATCATTCATATGATATGGCTGTGTCTGAAAGTGGGGTATAACATGGTATACCCCCCCAAAATCGCATTTTTATAGGACCACGGATGCTTAATGAGCAATTTTACACTATTTTCAGGCAGCAACTCACAAGTGAAAGTTGGTTCAAATGCAATCTGGTAATATATCTATGGGGTGATTCTACATCGCATTATACTTCTACCAAAGCAGGGTGATTATACATAAGATAGGTGATTATCCCCAAAATAGCAGTCATCTGGAATAGCAATACGCAAAGAATTCGGAATATGGAATCTGGAATATCGGGTGTGTGAGCAAGTATGACATAGTGACATAGCAATAGTGCAGTTGCCAGGAACCAGTGTGGGACCTCATACTAATACCACCAATTAATGAAGGAATTTAGCGATCCGTCCATGGCTAGAAAGAACATGGATAAACCACATAATATTGGGATATGGGGATGAAACAGCAACGGCGAAAAACATCAAGCAACTAGTTAGCAGTTGAGTTTCAAGCTATTCAAATGAGGATATCTTTGTAACTACAGGACCTTTCCGGCAATAATTTGAGATCGAGATATCTTTGTGACATATTAGAAATACTGGCAGGCAACAATGAGACAAATGGCCCAAACTGCCAAGCATGCTCGGTTGATTTTTCCACACGATGGTTAGATTCTTGAGAAAAGGAGGTTCCTTTGAACATAGGAATGGCTCGAATGAGCAGCAAAAAGGGGGATACGTTTTCAAGGTAATCCAAGGAACACTGCTGATTCAAATTATTTCAAGCCATGACATCGGGATATCACAAGCAATAAGCATGGTATTCTATTTTGACGCTGTAATAAGAGAAACTGAAACCAACAGTTTACGAAGAATAGGACTTTGGTCCAAATTCTGTAGCCATATGTAGCCATCATTGGAGACGTACATGCACTTTCACAAACTACTTGTGACTGTTTGGACACGTTTAGCCCATGATAACCTGTTCTTCATCACCGCAGGATGAAAACCATCGGCTTTAGGGAACAAACCTCGACAAGCTTGACCGCGCTACACGTTGAGGAACCACTCAGCTACTGGGCTGATAGGTTTCACCCGTCGTTTCATCCATCCCCACGTTCAAGACCCCCAAGGCAAGCCAATCCCCACTCAAAAAATCTTGGACTCACAGATGTCCTGATGACAGGAGCTGATACATGTTCAACCCAAAACTGTTTGGATTAATCTTTCTTTGGATGAACAAAATCAGGTCCAGTATATTTACCATATTTTGAAATAACACCAAATAATTTCAATATTGTTCAAAGATAATTCAGATATTTCAGATATTCACAACCATTTTTAAAATTAAAATTACACCAAACATGGGTCAAATTTCTTCACCGAAACTTGAAATTCTCCTAACTGATGTCGCAAAAACATGTGTAGGGATTCTCATGGTCGACCATACCAACCCTCATGGGGGAAGTTCTGAAAATTTGGGAAATTCATGTGTATATATATATATACAAAACCAAATAGACATATACATAATAATATAATATATATATATACATACATACAGAATATGTATATATATATATATACATACAGAATATATATATACATACATAATATACATAAACATTATATGTATATATGTATGTATATATATATATATGTGTGTACATATACATGTACATATATATATATACTGTATGTATTATTGATTATTGATTATTGTTATTACGATATATTATCACAATCCTCCCCCGCCTCCAGCCACATGTAAGGCTTTGGCACAAAGCTTAAAACCTCAATCGCCATGGCAAACTTGGAATTGATTAGCTCTCTGCCTGCAATGTCGATTGGGCAAATGCACCCTTAAATAAATTGTTATCCACTGGATTCACTGGATCAAGTTGAACAACACCGTGGTAGGCGTTGTTGGTGATAGGCAGAGTCGCGGCCTTGCAACTCATGAGTGCAACTCATTGGCCGATGTTGGACCTGATCAATCTGAAGTGTGATACCAAAAGTTCTCTGGTGGTTTGAACCCCTCTGAAACATATTAGTCAGTTGGGATTATTATTCCCAATATATGGACAAATAAGAAATGCTCCAAACCACCAACCAGTGATCTATTTTGCACTATTTTTTGCACCAAATGCTTCGAACAACCCGAAGAAAATCACCGCCCGCCAAGGCCAGGAGCCGATTTCATCAAGGCGGGCGTGAGGTGACTGTCCGGGTAGCGCAACTGCGGCGCGAAGAGACGGAGTTTTTTCACATGGGATGCCCCACGAATTTGTATCCCGAAAAATATGACAATAGAATTTCAATGATGACACATGTATGTATTATATTGAAATATATATATATAGGCGTGTCTGACCATGGGGTGTGATAAATTCCATGGTTGAGCATCATTATCATCTCTCCCACGATTTGACGGGTGTTGGAGGTCAGCCTTGGCATGCCAGGCGTGCGTCATGTTGGGTAACAATTTCTACAACCCCATTTCAGGAAATCACAAGTCAAAAGGGATTCTACAATGAATCGTGGAGTGTTTCCATCCAAAATTTGGTGAATCATTTTTTGGTAAAAGTTAGGTCATTTAGAAAAGATATGTTTGACTACCAGTCGCTTGTTCCAACATGAAGCAAGTGATGCAGTGCAACTCCAACACCAAGCTTACTTTGGGTGACGCCAAGCTTACTTGAGGGACATGCCAACCCCATATTTTCACCACTGTGCACTGTTGATTTATGTGTTTGCCATTGCAACAGACTACCAGCACCGCATGTCAGTTCATTAACCCAGTCTTACATTCATACGTTGGGGTTCCCCAACGTTAAAGCTACAGATCTGGTCACTTTGAGAATACCCGATAATCAAACATGGCAATCGATAATGCACCATTGACTTCGACGAAGACTTCCTGTTGACCACTCCATCACCTCGCCTGTGGCTGGTATTGGCCACAGACCTCGCTTGGGAAACCGTGGCGAAGCTGAGATTCCTTTGGCAAAGAATCCATGTTTTTGTCTTTGGACAGTTCCTCCAGTTGGACAGCATGTGAAACTTCCATTTGATGGACAGACACATTGTTTCGTGCATAATCCTCTAGCCTATATGCTGTTGTAAATTATCATGAGGAAAGCAAGCTGCCGCACTACATCGTTTATGACCTCAATAAGCCAAGACCAAACAGCTGCTAGGGCCCCAAACAGCTGCTAGGGCCCAATTGCCAGAGTTTTTCTGAGACGTTGACCGTTCCAAGTATCGAATACCTCCAAAAGAGATGAACGACGAGAAGATTCAAGTGGTAGATTTCCAAAATCTTGGATTTATGGTAGATATACCAATAAAATTATATAAAATTCCATAGTCACAGTTAACTGGGGTACTGGGGTATAAATATGAACCAACAAACATAACTTGGAAGCTATAGCCTTCATCTTCAAACATGGCTGGGAAATCCCAGAAAACGGATGTTTTTTGAACGGGGTATTTTCCAGCTAGGTTTGTTCACCCAAGGGTATACCTAACTTGAAAAACATTGTTTTATTAAAACAGAAGGTGTTTCCCTGCAAAATCCACCTGTGCCAAATTTGGGCCTCTTAGCTAAGAGTACATAATTTCAGCCCCTGAAGATAAAAAAAGACCCCTGGCAGCTTTCTTGAGCAAGAAAAGTGTCCTTGGAAGATCATCCCCGAATCATATCCAAGTAGTTTTGTTCCAAGTTGTGATTCCGATGTCACAACTGTTCGTGCCTGCTACGAACACCTAATCAGCGGCTGAAGAGCATGCATGACATGCCAGTGTGGGAAGAAAGCCCAAGAAGCCAAAGACAGGTGAAGGGGAGCCATGGTCCCAGTGTCAAGGAATTCAGAACAGGATCATTCAATTTGATTGTGTGCGTTGTGTGCGCCCATGGCTTGTGTTTGTTGCCCACTTACGCATATCTACGTATGCGTTTTACCCTGCAAATTACGCCCCCTAAAAACGCAGGATTTTGGCAAACATGGTAGCTTGTTATACCTTAGCTTATCATACCAGTAATTACAGTAGATGATCCCGGTTTTTGTAGTCAGCAACTGATCATGCCATAAACAAAATGTCATGATATGTCATGCGTCTTATCATTTGATGGTAAGCCCATCATGCCATGAAAAACGCGTCGTGGCATTTAAAAGCCTGTCACGCGAAGAGAGTATCCGATATATGATGATACTCTGCGCAACTGCTTCATGCAATAATTAGCAGCCGATGAGCACAGCTTCACCCTGCAACGAAGGTTCTGTGATTAGTTGATTGCTCAGCCTTGCCCCTCAAACATCTTCGAACTCCAGCAGCAAACTGACGTCAAACCTACAGCAAGACATCTGTAATGATAGAACGCTTCAAAAGTCAAAAACGTCCCTTAGATTTAAAACAATGGCTAAGCGGCTAAAAAACAAGACCCTCAGGAACATCTAGGTAGATACATGTACAATTCTTGGATGCTTCGGGTTAAAGCACTATATTTTTTTCAGCCACTGATTCACTGAAGATAGGTTGGAACAGTTCCACACATCACCCCAGCGCTAAAATTCCCACTTTTCTTGGTCGTTTCACTCCATATTATCTACTTGAATTATATTATAATTGGTTATATTCCCAGGTGTGTCAGCCATGCACCCAGTGGGTCACCCCGCCAGTGTGGATATATTCCCAATAATCCCGAAAAAGCCTGTAACTTAATCTACTTAGTTGAATTACATTGCTTATTGTTTGATATCTTTCCCATACTTTCCATTAGACCGTATGGCGAACTAATATAGCTATCGAAGAACACCATAGAAACGGGTTGCATCTATATAGAAATGGACAATTGTCATCAGTTCTCCATAGCTATATATCACTAGTTCTGTGTTCGACTATATCCCCAATATGGTAAGTTGGCTTTATACCCCTATATCCCTGCATTTATTGGTCAAACCTTCAGTTTTCCATTGACTCGCCCCCACTGGGAGACCCTCACGGATCTTGGTTGGTAAAAAGTTCATCCCGCAGCCTTCGGTTCCGCCAGAGTTCTCCAAGGAAAAAATTGGAAACTAGGCACTTAGTTTATATAAACTTTTGGAATCGAGTTGGGGTCTCAGGATCTAGATCATAGGTCATAGATCATCCAAATCTAAGTTTGGTTTAATGGGTCATTCCCTTTCACCCCTTCATGCTCTTGGTAAGTTTCCTGAAATTAATAGAAACTATTTGCCAGCAGTTGTTTTCACAATTTTCAAAGTTTTCCCCTTATGGTGAACTGGGTTGATATGGTGGTCTTGGACTCCAACAATAAAAGAGGCCATGTGTTTGAGGCTTGGATTCGGTTGATGCCAAATGAATTTGAAACATATACATTTTTTTGTTTAGTAGATACTTTGGTCCTGATTAGGGTGTCTCTTCAGGCAGCAAATTGTGCTTGGCATTGGCTGAAAATAAAGTTATATAAAGAAAATACTTATCAGGGAACTTTTTCGCCAAACGCATCTTAATTGATTTTTGCATCGGGGTGACGCTATAGATTGGACAGGATTGGATGATTGACCTCTTAGTCTTAGTGAAGAAATTTGGTTCTTATTCGTACTATTAGGATCTATTAGGAATCTCTTCGGCGAGCACATGTTGATTCACATTTGTATGTTGATATTGTTGATTAACTTTGCATGGTTTTGGTCCAAGTGCTGTTTTCAGATTCCAGGTCGGGTGTGCGCGGACATCTCCTGTATAACACATGTCGCACTTGTACACATTCCAATATGTTTTTTCTTTAACTAGTTTTAACATGTTTTTAACTACTTGCGTGGATTTGAGCATTAATTAGGGGGCGGGGGAAGGGAATACTTGAATTAAACCCTCTTTCCATGGAACTTTCAAAAAACATGGGGCCAGACCATGGTACTGGGTGGTTATATTGCCCATCACCAAGTCCACATGATTTTCCAAGGGTAGGTCTAGGGTTCAGAACTTTGCATTGAACTCTCAGATTTTTTGCCAAACAAATCTCTGCGGACTTTGCGTTTTTTTTTTTTGCGGCCGATTATGGGGCATGAGATCTTCTGAAAAAAAACAAATCCGCGGAAAACTGAGATCCTGTGCCCCCGAATCGACTGCAAACAATTTTTGCGGACTTTAGTGTAAATTGGTTTTCAGCGGAACTCCACTACACAAATTGTGTACCTGACTTCTGCTGAAAAAAAATTGGCGGAACCTAGTATTCAGACCTATGCCTGGGCGGAACTCATCTTCTGGCTTTGTGTAGTAGATTTCTGCTGATTCAATGTTTGGACCTAGCATTTCTGTTTTTTTTTGGCGGAACTCCACCTCACAAAATGTGTACATGAGTTCTGCTGATCTTGGATTTTTTTCGTCAGAAATCCATAAATCTGGTGACGCATGACTACCCATGAATCCCTGCTGCATTTTCATTTTCCAATGTGAAATTTAACCTGTACCAGCCGCAATGGCATTTAAATTGATCTAGGATCCTGACTTTGAGGACCTTGGGGTTTTTAAATCGGTCTACCTTCGTCTGACCATGAAATCGATTAACGCTTCTTGCTCGCGTGGGTATTTGGAATGTGAACAATATATGCTGGCTACATGAAAAATGTATGCAGAACAGAACATGAATAGCTATGTCATGTTACAAATAAACAATAGAGATATAATTAATTATAATTATCTATGCGGAACATAAAGTAAGTCGCTGTATGTTTTATTTTGGGCCTATTGTAGTGGATTATCTATATGAGTATACGTGGCTATGATATGCTTTGCTTTCATTCAAATTCCTTTATATATATAGTTAATAAATAGAAATGATATATCTTCTGGTTTTTGCAATTTTCAAGTTTTCCATCAGATATTTGAATCTGAGTCCTGACTAACGTCATTTTTGACCCTAGCTGGTAACATGGTGAAAAAATAAAAGATGCCATGTATTTGAGGCT